AGGCTGTATGATAAATTTGAAGGGAAATCTTAATAATGAAATATTAATGTTTTTAAAATTGGGATTTTTAATCCTATATATTTTTTCGTATTCTAAGATATCTTTAGCATACATCTTGATTGCTTTAGCATATTCTTCACCACTGGCAAAATTTATATTTCTAATTTTAATGTTTTTATCATTAATACTGATGTTAATATTAACCGGTTTAGTTTGTAAACTATAAAGGACGTGGTTAAAATGAATATACACCATATAAAGCATCAATTTATGAGGTATTTTATGGAAAAGGCTGTTGAATAAAATATAACCCATATAAATTTGGTGTATTTCGTAAAAAATTGAACTAAAATGGTGGTTATCTGTTATTCATTCATATCTATATTTTTAAGAAAATCATTATACTTTAACGTTTTAATACATTGAGATACTTTTATTTTCAATAATCAAAATTTTTATTATAAAATATTTGTTTCTAACATATAAGAAACATAAAGTTGTATAAAACAAAAGCATTACATGAAGCTATATAAAAAAAAGAAGAAAAATATTTTCGAACCAAAATAATTTAAAAAAAACATAATTGGGTTCCTATAAAGGAACAATAGTTAATTTTAAAAATGTTTATTTGTATGTTCTGTCTAAGTAATAAGAATTCCCTAGGCTTAAGTTTCTGTAATTTAATTTTGTAAACTAAATTTCTATCAGTTGGTAGAAATTGCATTTAGCGAGAATATGGAATTGCTGAGTTTTTTCTATTAGTTTATTTTTTTAGACATTGCTAGAGTAAGCGGGTTCCTATTTATATTATTGGAGGGAAGAATAAGACACATGTATAATCCCAAATAGATTTGCCCATGACCCAGGGGATAGTGATTATGTCTTAGACCGTCATTTGTTGAAAGATTGCAAGGTTCTAGAATATTAGTTATACAAGTCTTTTAAGGAGGCTTAATAATCTATTTATTGAAGAGTGCCGTTGATGTCAACCTAAATTTTTAATGCAATTAAGTATGTCTTCCCTTGGCATTTACTAGAAGATTTCAATTCATGCAGTGATAAGGTTTAACTAAGTCGAATAATAATTTTTATAAATTATTGATTATTTAAATTTATTATAATAGAATCTGCATCATAGTTTGTTGCTGCTCAAATTGAATCTCAAATCATGGATCAATTGAATTCTTTTGATTTTATTAATTTTTATTTACGACTTCATTTTCTTTGAATCATGAGATTGTATGATGTTGATATTTAAATCAATTTAGGCTAAAAAAAGGTAAGAGTTAGGTTTAATCTACATTGACCCTAAATCGGGTTGGTATTTGGGACGAAAAAATTCAATGTTTAAATCAAATATTTATCATGGACTTTCTCATTCAATCTGATTAGAAAATAAAAAATAAAATTGTTCTTTCACACCGTATTAAAATGGCTGCCAAAATTTACAATATGAAATTGTTAAATACGTTCATTTAATTTAATTATACTAAAAGATATATAAAATAATTACAATATATCTGTTGGATTTTCCAAATATTTAACCTTGAAAAATTCAAATTTATGTTTTTCTATTACAAATATTTACGTGCCGGCTTAGAAATTATTTTGCGTGCAATTTTTAAGATTTTAGATGGGCCATTTTTTTCTGAACCGTGCTAATATCAAAATATTTAACATAGTGACATGTATATAGTTATATATATAAACCTTAATTCTTACTTTAAATCTTAATAGTTTTATTTTAAAATATATACAGATTATGAAACCTTTATTCCTACAATTTTCCATTTGGCCTAATTTTTTTTTCTAGACTTTTTTCCCAGGATTCGAACAGGGGGTATTCAATCATGAACCTTGTTTTTGTTTGTTTAAAGATAATTTTGGCTGTATTAGTCTTTTAGTTACTTCGTCTTCCAGGTGTTTCGCTGTCAGCTTTGTGCATCAAAGATTGCACGGGTAGGTACGATAGTTTGAGACAGATATGGAATTGACCTTTTCGATCGATCCTTCGTAGAAACTGACCCTGTCTCTAAGCCCGGCAAAGTTTTACATGAGCAGTGAGGTTTCCCGTGGAACTCCGTGAAGTTGGTGGAACGACTTGAGAATCAATTAACAAAACCTATGCCAATATTTAGAATCTTAATTGTTCCTAACTGATCTTCTATCCGGACGACAACGGAATAAAATGTTACTGAATTATAAGCAAAATAAGAAAGTGTTGGCACTATACCATAACCGAAAATATGAAAGATCATGTTTTGAAACTTGGCAACTATTTAGTATTCAATTTGTGCTTTAATATTCTCCAAACCGGATACCCGTATCACTAACGAAACCGACTTATATTTAATTTTAAAAGCAGCGTGATGTTGGTGGAACTATTTGTAGAAAGTGAGGATCAATTACCGAAATTTATGCCAATGTGTAGCCTGTTAATTGATCCTATCTTCAAACCGTATACCAGCGAAATGAGCCGCTCGTGATAGGCAAATTGGGTAAGATTTGGCATTTTGCCAAAATCTAAAATGGCAATCATTTTTTAGTTAATGCCAATATTTAGTGACTTAATTGATTTTCCGTATTCTTCAAACGGAATGTCATAAAAATTAAACGAAAGTGAGTGTCAACAATAAATGTTTCAAGGTCAAATTTAGACCTGACAAATTATGGATGTATTATCTATGAAACTTATATTATTCTAGTTCTCCGGTAGAGGTAAGTATTTTAATCAGTTTAGTAGCCGAAATTAAAATAAAAAAGTTAATAACGAAATAAACAAAAAAAATGGCGGCACACCAAAACAAAAACTAGAGTAACGACAAACATTATTAAAATTTCGTAATTTATTTGGTTAACCACCTTATAAATTTTTTATATGCTATATAAATATTTTAAGGTCAAATTTTGACTTCAGAAATTATGGATGCATTGGCCTATTAAAATTTTACGAAAAATCGTGGATTTTCGAGGCCAATAATAAAGTTCGTTATTAGAGTCCTATATGGTTGTCGGAGGCGTCGACGTACAGTGCATTGGTTACATGGTATCTCAGTTGGATAGGAATTGTAAAGGGTCGATGATGATCTTTGCATTCTTGAATGCTAGATATGAGTCAACAACTGGGGTTAGTTGGCCTTGATTCATCGTCACATAGTAAGGAGAGAAAAGCCTGGACATCCCAGTAATGGTATTTCAAAATAATTTACTACACAGAGGACTCTAACAGCTAATAATCAGCCTACTTGTGGATGTTGGTAAGAATGTTGCCTGAATATATTAAGGCATCTGGATAGCCGTCGTCTGGTATTGTTATCGGCTGAGAGGATCTTGGCGACTAGATCATTGATTATGCTGAAAGAAATGATTTATGGAATAGGGTCTTAAACTGATTTGTCGACAGCGATGGTGAGACCCCAGCCTTAGGATCTTGTCGACCATTTGAAGTAGAATTCAGTGTCTCCATAAAGGTCTGCCATGGTCGGGTGGTTAAAAAAAATTTTTAACAACGGGTGGGCGGGCGGGTTAAGAAATTTAAACAATGGGCGGGCGGGTTAGAAAAATTAAAAATTTTTATTTTAATTAATAAAAAATTGTTCTTACGAACTTAAAAAAAAAGGCTTTTTCTGGTATAACTTTTTATAAAATAAATCAACCTTTTTCTTCAATTAAAAAAACTTTTTCTACAAATAAAAACAAACTTTTTTCTATAAACAAATTAAAATCTCCTTTTATGGTAATGAAATAAAACTTTTTTTTAAAAATAAATAATTTTTTAGATATTGAAAATTAAAATTTCCTTTTTTGGGAATAATGAAAATTGTATTATTTTATTTTAGTAATGATTGTTTATCTTTATATTGCCCTTTTTATTTTCATTTTCATTTTCATTTTCATTTTCATTTTTATTTTCTTATATAATATATAAATTTTATTTTTTATAACATAATTTAAACAAAATAATATTTTTTAATTTAACTTTAAATTATGAATAAAGAATATATAGCTAAGAAAATAAAAAATAATTTTTATAAGATAGAAAACAATGAAGATAATAATAATAAACTTAAATCGTCAGTGTGGAAACAATTTAAAATTATTTTTGATGAAAATGACAAAAAGCTAAATTGGATACGCTGCAATGATTGCGAGTCCATCTTTAAATATAATAGCAAAAGTGGCACCTCCTTCTTCCTTCGGCATCAATGTCCATCTGCAAATTATGAAGATTTGATAGATAATAAAATAATAACTGGATATTTTGAAAAAGACATTTCTAAATTAAACAAAACGATAAAATCTGGTCTAATAGCGAATTTTGTAGAATATTGCGCTAGAGACATTAGGTATTTTAATTTAATAATTTATTCTTTTATCTTTTTTAGGTCATTTCAAGCAGTTCAAGGGCCTGGATTTATAAATATTTTACAAAGATTTGTCGACTTAGGGGCAACATATGGTAAATTGGATGTTAATAAGATCACCCCTTGTGCTGCAACAGTTAGCCGCAACGTATCCAAAGTTACTGAGGATCTTAAGGAAATATTATTTCCTAAAATTGTAGAAATGATAAAAAATTCCATTTGCTCATGTACTACTGATATGTGGTGTGAAGGATTTACCAAAACCGATTACATATCTCTATCAATCCATTATATACAAAATTGGAAATTAGAAAAAAAATTTCTTTTTATTTCAAAATTTCAAGATGAAAAAAAGACGGGAGAAAATATTCTTAAAGAATTATTAAAAAATTTTTTAAAAATTGGTGTTCCCCGAGAATATTTTTCCAAGCTCGTTACGGATCAAGGAGCAAATATTAAAAAGGCTTTAGAAGGGTAAATTTTTTATTAAATAAAATTTAATTATTAGGTAGATATTATAATAATTTCTGAGAGATTTTGTATACACCTAAAGAAAAAACATTCATATTTAAAGAACTATATTTTCCTTTTATTTTTTCAAATATTAGGTTTAATAGACTAAACTGTTCAGCACATATGCTGAACACAATACTTCGTAATACCTTCCAATCAACTTTTATTTTAGAAAATGCTCCCGAGATTAATAATATTTTGGTAACTGCAAAATCATTGACGACTTATTTCAAACAAAGTGGCAACGTAAAATATCTAAGCAAGACGTTACTACAAAATATTGATATAAGATGGAATACGAAGCATAATATGCTACAAAGCATTTATATAATGTATGATGAGATTTTTTTATTCTTACAATCTCGTGATATGACTAAAAAAATGGGATCTATGGGAAAGGAAGATTTAAAAACACTGATTGATTATTTGGAACCATATAAAGATGCAACTAATGCTCTTGAGGGTGATTGCAGGCCTACACTACAGAACGTTCTTATATGGTATGAAAATTAATATTTTGGGATTTATGCCCATTTTTTCTTTATTTATAAAAAAATTAGGTATAATCTTCTACATGAGCATAATGAAATAAATATGAATATAATGGAGAGAAAAACTAAATACGAAAAAGAAATAGATATAATAAAGAAAAGAGCTAAAAATTTTATAATTGAAAAATTTAAAATTCATATGCTCCATAAAGTTTTAACATTTTTAATACCAAAGTTCCGACAAATGAGGATGTTGTCGTCGGAAGAAATTAATGAAGTAAAAAAACATATTGAAAACTTGTTAGATTTGATTTGCATAGAAGAATGTAACATCGACGTAGATGAAAATTTGATTTTACCCATTTCCCCAAAAGCAAAGAGAATCCAATTAAAAGGTATTAATAAATTATAAATTCGTTTAGCCACTTATTGAATGTAATATTTGAAATATAGCATCCACATCAAAATTAAACCCCAACAGATGGGAGAATGAGGTTGTTACTGAGGATAGTACCATACATAATGACATAACAGAATATTTATATCTTAAAGTAACCATTTTTGATAAGTATAATTTAGCATAATTTTAAGATGCATATATTACAATTAATATAAATTTCAATTACTTTTATAAATTTATTATTATTGGTTCACTTTTATTTAAAGATTTCAATTGAGGAAGAGGATATACTTCAATAGGATGTCCTATTTTGGTGGAAACGACAAGAAAAAGATTTGCCAAAGCTATCAAGAGTAGCAAGAAAAATATTAGCAATTCCTGCAACTAGTGCTATTTCTGAAAGAGGATTTAACATTGCCTGAAGGTTTTTAGAACAAAGAAGAACGTGTTTGAATCCCGAAAATGTGGATTCATTATTATTTTTGCATTATAATTACTTATAATATTTATTTTATATTTATATTTTATAAATATTTTATTTGATAATCCATAATTTAAATTGAATATTTTTTAAGCTTAATATAGTAATTTCCTAAATTATAAAACTTATAGAAATGTAATGTTGAAACTATTTTCATTAGATGCTTAAAATAGCCGAGTTGGGTAAAAATTTTTTTATAAATAATGGGCTGGCGGGTAAAAAATTTCTGACTATGGGCGGGCGGGCAAAAAATTTTAGACTAATGGGCGGGCGGGTAAAAATTTTTAGATTAATGGGCGGGCGCGCGGGTATATTTTTTTTGAAAACTATGGGCTGGCGGGTTAAAAATTTTTTAAACATTTAGTGGGCGGGCATATTATCCAAAAACCCGCCCAATGCAGACCTCTATGTCTCCATAGATGAAGATATCGCCTAGGTAGACATTATAGTCCGCTTTCCTCACCATCCTAGCACATGCATCAAGGATGATACTTTGCAGGCAGTAAGGGCTGAAGGAGGCACACATGGGAAGCACTTTATATCGAAACTATTGTTCTTGAAAGCGAATCCCAGAGAATCGATATACCTGCGTTGCCAGCAGGATGGGAAAGAAGGCTAATCGGATATCAATCTTACAAGCAAATTTGACTCTTTCACGTTTCGCAGACTTAAGAAGAATTGATTTTAGTTGAATGGATATTGTTAAGTTTTTGGGCATCTCTGAAAAATCACTGCCCTAGGGGAACCCTGATTTTGGACGGATTTAATTGTCATCCGCCCGCTCGATAATTCCGGTTGCCAAGAGTTGATGAATTATCGGCGCATAGCTTACGTCTGGCTCGCGAGGGCGAATGTGACGGAAGTATCTACTTTCGTTGTTTTGGATTCGAGGGTAGTCGATCCTATGTTTGAATCCCCGTTTGGCGACCGCTTTCGTAAAGGAAGACATCAATGGACCCACCGTAAACTTGGCATCTGCAATGTTCAGTGTGGATCCAATGGTCAGCGCCTGACAGGAATCGGTGGTCATTCATATTAACTATACCGTCGAGGATATTGTTGATGGCAGGAAGGACCGTCGACCCTGCTTGGGGCGTACCAAAATCATGGTCGTTTTCTGTGAGAGAACTCTCCAAAGATTTTATGATAGCCGTTGCTTCCTCCTCCAGACAGGATCTGTCTGAGAAAGACCAGGAGGCCGTAGAAGGGATATCAATCTTCCACTCCTGGATCCCTGAATCCTCCGATAACAGCGACACTACATCTGATGAGGATTAGGGATTTTGGCTGGCGACGGTGGCATCTGGTGGTTGTGAAGGTGGTTGACTGCTGGATTCTGATCCACTAGAGCTCTGATCGTTGTTTGGAGAAAATAACTGACGCTTCAATTCCCTTAGTTATTGATTTACCTTTTTGATCCAGCCCGAAAATTGAGTTTTTCCCGCTCCGTGCCGGTGGTCCGCTATCCGGGACTTGGTTGCCTTCGATACAAGGTGGGTAGCTTTAAAGAGGTGTGTTGGGTATTAGTGGTAGGAAGCAAGGAAAGAGAAGAAGAAATAGGGGAGAAGAAAGAGGAAGAGACGGCATAAATATCCCATTCAATGTATACATTCTCTAATATAATTCAAAACGATTTCTATAAAGATTATATATTATTTTAACTTTAAAATATACTTGGGTCATAAATATCCCCTTCCATGTATACTACAAAGATTACATATTATTTTAACTTTGGGCGTAAATATCCAATTCAACGTATACATTCTCTAATCATCCAGGAAGCTATTGTTTCATTTTTTGTTTTTTGATTTTTTACATTTATTTTTGTCTTTTATCATTTTTTTTCTACATTTTTTGTTGTTTCCATTTGTTTTTTTTTGTTTTCCATATTTTTCATTATTTTGTGGCTTTTTCTTTACTTGTAAACAGTGTTCAGCTCAGAGGTGTTAAGGATTAAAAGAATATATACTATGTGTTTATTTATTTTAAAATATAATTGCATAATAATAGTTATAAAAGACCGTTTTATGATAAAAATGGAATAAGTGCTAAGTCAGATTTAATTCTAAACTGGCGTGTTGAAAACATATGAAACCATGAAATATTGAATTCAAAACCAGTAATCTATATTCCTTAAAAGTCATACGAATGAGCTGGCAATTTGTATGAAATAAACCTATCATTAAATCGAATTACATAAAAATCAATTAATAAATCTAAAATAGCACAACTCCCATTATAATCTATTTCCTATGATGAAATATTTTTATACAATTGGTTACAAGAACAAATTATAACTTTAAATAAATATTGCCGGTATTAAAGTAACTATTACACAAATAGATTTCATATGAACCTTAGTAAAAATAAAATGACCATATGATTAAACATCTAGGTATATTTTCTTATACATATGAGTAATCGATTTAAAATAAAAATCTGAACATGTGCCATAGTGCAGGTGTTATCAGAAGCAATGATATTAACCATATTTTGAATTAGCTGCATGAATGGACATATATAGGTGGTAAATTACACAAAATTGTCTAACTGATCATTCCTTAACTTTATTGGTGACTGTGGCTAGATCTCCAGGAAAATTTATTGATCCAAAGTCATACATTTTACATTTTAAAATAAAATATTAGTACAAATATTGCAGACTCCTAGAATTTTTATTAGATAAAAATCTCGTTATATCAAATTGATAAATATATGCCCCTGTTTATATAAAAAGCCATATTTATTTAGAGAATTTTACGTTGATATACTGATAATATCCGCTATAAAAAAGAAAAAATGTTAATAGAGTTTATTGTATTTAATATTTTTGGACTTGTCCTGACATTATACTGAATTGTAATAAATATCTCAAATGTTTAATCTTTGGATTAGAAAAATTAGACATAATTAAAGAAATATTAATTTAAAAATATATCTAATAATCTTAATTGTTGAATTTAAAGTATTAAAAATAAAGCCGTATCTAAATGTATCATATCATTGAAAGAAGAAATTTATTTCTATAACCCCGAAATAAGTATAAATTTATGTAATTTTTTAAAGATCTATTCTTTATAGTCCACAATTATGCAATCACATTATTATAAACAAGCTACAGACAGCTCATCAAATGTTGAATGTTATTAAAATAATTTAAGATTAGATAATTTAAATTCGTAATTGTTGCCTATGCATGACTATTGATAAAATTTTCTGCAAACATTTTGATTAAATAAGAGGGTTGCTTACTATCGCTGAAGCATTCAGTATCTCTTATATGATTAAGGAAAAAGACACTGTATTATACCACAAGAAATAGAGAATTTACAATATAACAATGAAATTTTATTCACGATAAAAGTGTCGATGAAGATGTATTAATTAAAAAGATAACCAATCAATAAAAAAATGTATTTCATATTATGGAGCGCATCAAGATTAAATTAATTTGTTAAAAAATAAATATCATATCACATATCAATAGACCTTAAAACAGTGTCGTCACTAGGGAAAGGCACGCAGGGGCTCGAGCCCCCTGAAAAACTTGATAGCCCCCTGAAGCAAATTTTTTTAATGGCTCTTTATTATCAATTTGAACTCAAAATAAAATTTTTTGATTGTCCCCTGAACGATTTTTTTTATAATTCTATTAAGTAATATACAGATTTAATTTTATTATTTAAAAATTAATAAGACAATCTAAATTTTTATTAAATGAATACTTAGATTAAATTAAAACATATAAATTATATTTTCACTATGTCAGCTTGCAATCAAATTCTGTATTAAAAATAGAATTCCAATATCACTCACTAAATATTAATTTAGCATTAACAGTTGAAGCTTATTTAACATATATTATATTATTTAAATTATTAAATAAACCTAATTATATATCTATATTATAATTTTCCGATGTCCTCACTACGTCATCGTGACGTCATGTCATCCCTACGTCATGTCATCCCTACGTCATGTCATCGTTGCGTCATGCCATCGGTACGCATTTATTTATTTATTTTTTATTTGTTTAATTAATTTATTTTTTATACAAACAGATGATCCTATAACTTAAATTTTCTATGCAACTATGGGAGACCATATTAAAACCAAGAAGTAATACATTATTTACTAAATATTACAAATTATTAATATTTTATATCTCTAGGCTTGGGAAATTTTTTTCAAAATTAATGCAACTGTAGGAGGCACAATATTAGGAAGCATATAATTATAAAAAAAGTTTATCAAGCCCAGCTACCCTTAATAATTTGTAAAAGATATTCCCATGTCCATTGACCAAGTCTTGAGTTTATACCAATGTTTATACATAGGAAAGTAATACATTATTTATTAAATATCACAAATTATTAAGAAAGCCCAATGATGGGGAATGAGATTTTTATTCATTTTTTACGATATTGTCATGCCAAGTATAAGCTCATTAGGAAGCATATAATTAGAAAAAAGTATATCAAGCCTAGCTCAACCCATTATAATTTGTTAAAGATATTCCCATGTCAGGTGCAAGCTAATATTAATTTTGAGGTTCTAAGCCCAGTCGTATCCAATATAATTTTGAAAATTTTTTCCCACCTCGGAGATAGTTATATTTTTAATTGATTTATCATCATATGAAGGGTAAATATCTGATTTACCAATTAGTTTAAAATGTAAAAAAAAATAAATAATAATATTAGGGCAGACCTTATTTTGTCATGATTCTCTTTTATACCAATGTTTATACATAGAAAAGTAATACATTATTTACTAAATATTACAAATTATTAAGAAAGCCCATCAAAAATGACGGGGAATTAGATTTTTATTCATTTTTTACGATAGTGTCATGCCAGGTCCAAGCTCACAATATTAGGAAGCATTATTAAAAAGTTTATCAAGCCCAGCTCAACCCTTAATAATTTGTAAAAGATATTCCCATGTCGGGTGCAAGCTAATATTAATTTTGAGGTTCCATGCCCAGTCGTATTCAATATAATTT